TGTGCAGCCACTTGGTTGTGTATGGCAATCATTGCCTTGATGCTTGAAGAGGCACTAAAATAAAAAAAGGGAAAGTCAAGAAACAAGTTGAACAGGTTTAAATATTATTGTCCTTGGGAACAACATTCCTTGCCTTCTCCCCTCTGGCTCCCCTCCAGAACAGGTGAGACATTGAAGGCTTTTGAGCACTCCTTCTTTATTGCCTGCAAACAGTAACAAAAAGGGACATAATAGGCTGATTAAAAGGAGTTTACAACACTCCAACAGGAGCGGAACTCAAAGGGATCTTCACAGATTAGAGAGATGATGGGTCAAAACTCACACAATGAAGTTCAATAGGGACAAATGCAAGAGACTCCACTTAGGCAGAAAAAAAGGAAATGCAAAAAGACAGAATGGGAAATGATGCCTAGCTCATGTTCCCCTTCCTCCCCACGAGGATTCCAAGATCTTTTTCTCACGTCCTGCTGTTGAGCCAGCATCGGGCGGGGGGGGGGTCGCGGTGCGTTCGGGGGGCCGTGCGGATCGTCGGGGGGGTCGTCGTTGAGGCCAGGCATCGTCCCCCATTCTGTCTCTTTGCATTTCATTTTTTCTGCCTCAGTGGAGTATCTTGCATTTGTCCTTGTTGAACTTCACTGTGTTAGTTTTGGCCAATCATCTGTTCAGATCATTTTGAATTCTGCTCCTGTCTTCTGGAGTCTTGGCTCTCCCTCCCAATTTGGTCCTGTCTGCAAACTTGATGATCCTGCCTTCTAACCCTTCATCTAAATCATGAATGAAGATCCTGAGCAGACCAGGCCCAGGACGGAACCCTGCTGATGGCACTCCACTCTCACTTCTTTCCAGGATGAAGAGGAGGAAGCCTTGGGGAGAATCACCCTCTGGGTTCACACAATTAAAACTTGTGTGCCAGCTGCACCCGTACCTTGGGAAGTCGGATCTGGCCATGGTGGTTCACGCTCTTGTCACATCCCGAATAGATTACTGCAACACGCTCTACGTGGGGTTGCCTTTGAAGACTGTTCGGAAATTGCAATTAGTCCAACGGGCGGCAGCTAGATTACTCACTGGAGCGTCATACAGGGAGCATACCACCCCTCTGTTATGTCAGCTCCACTGGCTGCCAATCCAATTCCGAGCACAATTCAAAGTGCTGGTTTTGACCTATGAAACCCTATACAGCCCTATACGGTACCTTTCTCCACTTTTGGCCCCTTTTTGCCACCAATCTGTGTGTCTACTTCTTTCTCTGAAAGTGCCTAATGCAAGTGGCACTCACTTCCATCATCATGAAGTGCCTTGAAAAACTGGTCTGCAGGCATATCATTTCTTGCCCTCCCATACATCAGACAAAAATCAGTTTGCATATAGAGCCAACAGATCAATAGAGAACATCATAGCCATCATGTTTTACACTGCTCTGGCCCACCTGGAACAATGGGGGAACTGTGTGAGGATACTTTTTTCAGACTTTAGTTTAACATAAACGTCCCACGTAGACTGGTGTCTAAACTTATGGATCTGGGATTGTCATATTCAATCTGTTCCTGGATTATGGGTTTCTTGTCTGGACATTCCAAGAGGGTTAGATCAGGTTGTCATATCTCTTCAGCTAATCTCACTCTCAACACTGAGGCACTATAGGGCTGTGTGTTGACTCCTCTGCTTTTCACTTTGTACACATACGATTGCATCCCCATCTACCATAGGAATATCATTACTAATCTGTGGATGATAGCAATGGTGGGGCTTTTTATCTCTGAAGGGGATGAGTCTGCCTATCAGGATGGATGGCTGGCTCTTGTGGTGCAGGGACAATAATCTGGTTCTTAACATCAATAAGACCAAGGAGCTCATAGTGGACTACAGAAAGAACAGACCAGAAATTCAGCCCTTGGTCATAAATGGAGATCAAGTGGGGCAGGTTGCCAGTTTTACGTTCCTGGGTGTCACTGTGAGGAGGATCCCTTGGGGAGGCATCCCATATGGCAACGTTAGTGAAGAGGCCCAGCATACATTCCTTGTGTAGAGGCTTCCAGTCGGGGGGGGGGGGTCGCTGTCTTGTTCTAGGACTGGTCTTAAGCTTCATGAGTGTTATGGGGGGGACTGAGGGGGGATCACTTTGTGCGGCATGTAGGTCATATCATGTGGCGACGGCGAGCCCGGCTGAGGGCATGTGTCTCTGTATCACCTGGGAAGGAATCCCACTGGAGCATTGCAGCGCACCCAAATACCTGGGAGTCACTCTGGACCGTGCTCTGACCTACAAGAAGCACTGCCTGAACATAAGCAAAAAGGGGGTGCTAGAAACAATATCATACGAAAGCTGACTGGCACAACCTGGGGATCACAACCAGACCCAGTGAAGGCATCTTCCCTTGCGCTGTGCTACTCTGCTGCTGAGTACGCATGCCCAGTGTGGAACACATCTCACCACACTAAAACAGTAGATGTGGCTCTTAATGAGACATGCCGCATTATCACGGGATGTCTGCGCCCTACACCACTGGAGAAATTACACTGCTTAGCCGGTATTGCACCACCTGACATCCGCCGGGAAGTAGCAGCCAATAGTGAAAGGACCAAGGCAGAGACATCTCCAGCTCATCCCTTGTTTGGGTATCAGCCAGCACGTCAACGACTTAAATCAAGAAATAGTTTTCTAAGATCTACAGAGACACTCGCTGGAACACCTCAGCAAGCGAGAGTCCAAAAGTGGCAGGCTCAAACCCAGAACCTCAACCAATGGCTGATACCAAATGAGAGACTCCCCCTGGGCACACAGAGGACTGGGCGACTTGGAAGGTGCTGAACAAACTGTGCTCTGGCACCACGAGATGCAGAGCCAACCTTCAGAAATGGGGCCACAAAGTGGAATCCTCGACATGCGAGTGTGGAGAGGAGCAAACCACAGACCACCTGCTGCAATGCAACCTGAGCCCTGCCACATGCACCAGGGAGGACCTTCTTGCGGCAACACCAGAAGCACTCCAAGTGGCCAGATACTGGTCAAAGGACATTTAATCAACTACCAAACTCACACATTTTGTATTTTCTCTGTTTGTTTGCTTTGTTCTGTTAAAAATGTAATATAATTGACTGGCTGCCCTGACACGAGAAATAAATAAACTGAACTATAGAGAGTGTCCTAACCGACTGCATCTGCACATGGTTTGGTAACTGCACAGTGGCTATAGATAGCAAGGCACTCCAAAGGGTCACCACTTCTGGACAGAGGATCATGGTTTGCCCTCTTTCTCCCCTCTTTGGAAAAAGTTTATAGGTCTCAGAAAGCTCAGAGCTTTCTTGTGGAACTATCTCACCCAGCATATTCTTTTTTAAAAATTATTTCCATCTGGCAGACGGGACAGGGTGACAAAGACAAACAGACTGAGAGACAGCTTTTCTCCTAGAGCCCTAACTATATTGTTCTCCATGGTTTCACATTGATGTGGCTTTGGGGGCTGGGCAGTAGTGGTTGGGGTGTGGAGGGATGGGTGTGTGGAGGGATGGGTTGTCTTATGTGCTTGGGAAGGTATGTAGTTATACACCAGAGATATTAACAAAATAAAGGAAAATCTAACAGGGCCGAGAAAGGTAGCATATGACTGTTGGCAAAAATGGCAAAAACTATGGGCATATAAAATATCAGGAAAGACCCCTATTAAGAGCATGGGACTCCCTGAAAGGTTAGCAAATAACTTAGAAGAAAAGGGATTAAGGAGGGTACAAGATATGTGGAAACAAGATGGAGAGATAATTAATTGGCCAGAGTTTTTGGAAAAGGGGGGGGGGAAAGAAAATTGGTTAAAATTAAGAGGGATTTGGGAAAAAGTAAAAAAAGAGGGTGCAAAACCCACTGAAGAACTAAAGGTAGATAAATTGCTAAATGCAAGAGAAAAGACAAGTAAAGGAACAGTGGCAAAAATATATAATTTAATGGTAGAAGATAAAGAGTTTATGATTAGACAAGAGAAATAGAAGAAATAATTACAGACAATTACAGACAAGAGAAATAGAAGAAATAATTAGGAACATGAATAAAATAAAAATAGAAAAATATAATGAATTAGAAAAAAAGATGATATTAAGATGGTATAGAACTCCTGAACAATTGGCTTATATGTTAAAAGGAAAGAATTCGAAGTGTTGGCATTGTAATAAAGAAAAAGGTACTTATTCACACATGTGGTGGGAGTGTTCTGAAATAAAAAAATTCTGGCAAGTCATACAAGTAAAAATTCAGGAGATATTCCAGATAAGAATTCAAATTAATAATGATTTGCTACTTTGGGGAGTGTTGGATCATCCGAGTATAATAATTAATTGCCAGGAGTTATTTAAGGTAACAATAAGAGCAGCCCATGCAGTGATTGCCAGAGGATGGAAAGACAAATCGAAATGGACGTTAACTAATTGGAATGATTATATGTACGACCAAGTGCTGTTAGACATTACGGGAATTATGACCAAGCAAACACCAAGAATGGACAAAGAAAAGATCATTACAAATAGATGGAAGGTCTACTTCAACTGGGTGAAAAATGGAGGAGCCAACGATCACATCAAAGAAAAAACACAAAGACTCTACCAGTGGCTGGATCTGCAAGATTAGCTAGAAATACACTGTGGTTGAAGAGGGAGGGAGGGAGGGAGGGAGAGAGAGGGAGGGAGGGAAGGTGGAGATAATGTAATATACACCAGTGTAAATTAGCATAATGTCTTTAATATTTGTTGAATTATTCAGGTTTTATATGTGTAACACTTGGAATTTGGCTTACTGATCTGTGTGTATAATATAATAAAAATATATTTTTAAAAAAGGTGTGCAATCGTACAATGACAATAAAGCTATTCTATTCTATTCTATGGAGGTTACCTCAGTTGTGTCACAAGCATCTGCTGCAACCTAACCATGCTCAGCACACTGGGGCCACCCCTTGCTCTGCTTCCTTCCTTCCTGAAACCCGTCCTGCAAGCTGTCCCTTCAGGGTTGCCTCACCTGCCACGTTTACCCACAAACCAGCTTTCCTTGGTGAGGGCTTATAATAACTTCTCGTGGGAGGCTTCGCCATTTGGTCAGGATCCCAGCTCTCCAGCCACACCATGGGACCCTCTGTGCTGGCCCTCTTGGTGGGCCTCCTGGTTCTTTGTCCTGAACCAACATCAGCCAACAGCCCAAAGCGATTGTGCCCAAAAGGTAAGCAATCTCAAGTAAAAGGCCTTTTACAGTGAAGTGGAGCAGAAGTCGAACTCTATGTCCAGGTGACGCCAGGGATTCCCTGCACTTAATGTGGGGCAACCTGGATTAACATTGTTTTTAAGACAATTTGGGAATACACTAGAGCTTCTAAGGACAGAATGGCCAGCTCCAGTCCAAACCAGTCTGCTGTCCACATGGGCCAGCTTGGGAAAAGGGATGGATCAGGCCCATGATGCTACTGCAGATGACCACAGCCCTCCAGAGAACATCCAAGGTAGTTGGGCCTTGTTAGCTTGAAGAAGACAAGGCTGAGAGAAGGGGACATGAGAGCTGTGTGTATATATATTTGGAGAGCCGTCACGCTAAGGAAGGAGCAAGCTTGCTGGTGGAGTCTCCTTCTCTGGAGGTTTTCAAGCAGAGGCTAGATACCATCTGTCAGGGGGGCAATGGACTATGTGTTCCTGCAAGGTAGAAGGAGGATTGACTAGATGGCCCTTGAGGCTCCATTCCAACTTGAATGGAATATTAAGGGACTTGGAGTCCGGAGGAGGGTTTGAAGCAGAGTCTGGATGTCCATCTGCTAGGAGGGCTTGGATTCTGTCTTCCTTCGTAGCAGAATGGGGTTGAAATGGATGAAAAGGCAAAGAATGTAGCCACCCCCAGGGCCAGTATGCAGCATTACTGTAAAAATCTTGTTGTGGATTATACGCTATGTGTAGATGAGCCCAGAGTAGTCCCAAAGATCCAGGCCTAGATCTCCAGCTGGAAACCCCCAACCCTTACAAATGCAAACACAACACTAGCAGTTGCTTGGTCATCAATGCAAGGTGAAAGGTAGGAGAACAAAGACCCGTCAATGTTCATCTAGGACGCGAAACAATGGTTTCAAACTACAAGAGAGGAGATTCCATCTGAACATGAGGAAGAACTTCCTGATTGTGAGAGCTGTTCAGCAGTGGAACTCTCTGCCCCAGAGTGTAGTGGAGGCTCCTTCTTTGGAAGCTTTTAAGCAGAGGCTGGATGGCCATCTGTCAGGGGTGATTTGAATGCAATATTCCTGCTTCTTGGCAGAATGGGGTTGGACTGGATGGCCCAGGAGGTCTCTTCCAACTCTTTGATTCTATGATTCTATGATCTGGAGAACCAAGTCCCAGAAGTCAATGTGTTCAACCATACAGGGCTAGTGAAGGTGGGGCAGATGAAGGGCTCCAAGAAAGGCCATCAGGTGATCAGTGGTTGCTTCGTTTCAGAAGAAGGGGGCGCCCTCTGGGGAGGGCCCTTGCACTGGCCTGACAAGATAGACTTCAAAAGTGCTTCACCAACACGGTCCCTTGCTTTGGTTTTTCTTTTAATGCAAGTTAAATTCCAGCCAGAGAATGCACTCAACGCCAGGAGACAAATTCTGGTGGGTTGCTTCCAGCTAGAAGAGACACATTGGATAATTTCCTGAATGGTAAGTCAACTCACAGATGAATCAGTATATGAGTAAATCCAGTTGTTCTCCTGGTTCACTCTGGCTGGGGTTAACATTAGATTCTCCATGCTCCTTTCTAGTGGCTTCCATAGGAGGTTCTTCATGGCATGGTGCATGCATTGGGGGGTAAATTCTGAATCTAGTTTGCATCAAAGGTCACAGCTCTCTCAATCAGGAAATTCTTCCTGCAGGAAAGGAGATTCCACCTTAACATTAGGAAGAACTTGTCAAAGGCTTTCATGGCCGGAATCAGTGGGTTGTTGTAGGTTTTTTTGGGCTATATGGCCATGTTCTAGAGGCATTCTCTCCTGACGTTTTGCCTGCATCTATGGCAAGCATCCTCAGAGGTTGTGAGGTCTGTTGGAACTAGGAAAATGGGTTTATATATCTGTGGAATGACCAGGGTGGGACAAAGGACTCTTGTCTGCTGGAGCTAGGTGTGAATGTTTCAACTGACCACCTTGATTAGCATATAATGGCCTGACAGTGCTTGGAGCAAACTTTTGTTGAGAGGTGATTAGATGTCCTTGTTTGTTTCCTCTTGTTGTTGCTGTTGTAATTTTAGAGTTTTTTTAATACTGGTAGCCAAATTTTGTTCATTTTCATGGTTTCCTCCTTTCTGTTGAAATTGTCCACATGCTTGTGGATTTCAATGGCTTCTCTGTGTCGTCTGACATGGTGGTTGTGAGAGTGGTCCAGCACTTCTGTGTTCTCAAATAATATGCTGTGTCCAGACTGGTTCATCAGGTGCTCTGCTATGGCTGACTTCTCTGGTTGAAGTAGTCTGCAGTGCCTTTCATGTTCCTTGATTCGTGTTTGGGCAATGCTGCGTTTGGTGGTCCCTATGTAGACTTGTCCACAGCTGCATGGTACGGTAGACTCCTGCAGAAGTGAGAGGATCCCTCTTGTCCTTTGCTGAACAGAGCATTTGTTGGATTTTCTTGGTGGGTCTGTCAGGCAATTCTATGCTAATCAAGATGGCTCCAGCAGACAAGAGTCCTCTGTGCCACCCTGGTCATTCCACAGATATATAAACCCATTTTCCTAGCTCCAACAGACCTCACTACCTCTGAGGATGCTTGCCATAGATGCAGGCAAAACTTCAGGAGAGAATGCCTCTAGACCATGGCCATATAGCCCAAAAAAACCTACAACAACCCACATTAGGAAGAACTTCCTGACTGTGAGAGAGCCGTTCAGCAGTGGAACTCTCTGCCCCGGAGTGTGGTGGAGGCTCCTTCTTTGGATGCTTTTGAACAGAGGCTGGGTGGCCATCTGTCAGGGGTGATTTGAAAGAAATATTCCTGCTTCTTGGCAGAATGGGGTTGGACTGGATGGCTCACCAGGTCTCTTCCAACTCTAGGATTCTATGATCATGATCCAGTTTTTGTATTACAGAAAAGCCCGGAAAGTGTCCTGTTTCACCAGCTTCTGAAACTTGTAAAAAGGCGTGTCTGGACGATAACGGCTGCCCTGGAGACCTGAAGTGTTGCTTCAAAGGCTGTGGACGCAGTTGTGAGAAGCCAGTGATCACTGGTAAATAAATAGTCTTGTCTCCATCTAGAAAGTTGGCTGAGTTTGGGATTGCTCCAGCAGGAGTCTCCATCGACCCAATGGGAAAGTGCTTCATATCAGATGGAGGGCTGAAAAGTAAATAAACCTGGTCCACTAGCTCACCTAGGCTGCATCCAAAGGAATCTAGTGCAGTGGTTCTCAACGTTCCTAATGCCGCGACCCCTTAATACAGTTCCTCATGGTTTGGTGACCCCCAGCCATTAAATTATTTTCATTGCTACTTCATAATTGTAATTTTGCTCCTGTTATGAATCGTTATGTAAATATCTGATATGCAGGATGTATTCTCATTCACTGGACCAAATTTGGCACAAATAACAAATGGTGTTGAAGGAAAGTTCTGAGAGTGCCTTGGACTGCGAGAAGATCCAACCAGTCCATCCTCCAGGAAAGAAAGCCCGGCTGCTCACTGGAGGGAAGGAGACTAGAGACAAAGTGGAAGTCCTTTGGCCACATCATGAGGAGACAGCAAAGCCTAGAGAAGACAATGATGCTGGGGAAAGTGGAAGGCAAAAGGAAGAGGGGCCGACCAAGGGCAAGATGGATGGATGGCATCCTTGAAGTGACTGGAATGACCTTGAAGGAGCTGGGGGTGGTGACGGCCGACAGGGAGCTCTGGCGTGGACTGGTCCATGAGGTCACGAAGAGTCGGAGACGATTCTCATTCACTGGACCAAATTTGGCACAAATACCCAATATGCCCAAATTTGAATACTGGTGGGGTTGGGATGGGAGGATTGATTTTGTCACTTGGGAGTTGTAGATGCTGGGATTTATAGTTCACCTACATTCAAAGAGCAATCTGAACTTGAACCAAAATTGGCACACAGAACTCCCATGACCAACAGAAAATACTGGAAGGGTTTGGTGGGCATTGACCTTGAGTTTGGGAGTTGTAGTTCACCTACATCCAAGAGAACTGTGGACTCAAACAATGATGGATCTGGACCAAACTTGGCACAGATCCTCAATATGCCCAAATGTGAACACAGGTGGAGTTTGGGGAAATGATACTTGACATTTGGGAGTTGTAGCTGCTGGGATTTATAGTTCACTTACAATCAAAGAGTATTATGAACCTCACCAACAATAGAATTGGGCCAAACTTTCCACACAGAACCCCCATGACCAACAGAAAATACTGTGTTTTCTGATGGTCTTAGGTGACCCCTCTGACACCCCCTCGTGACCCTTCCAGGGGTCCCGACCCCCAAGTTGAGAAACACTGATCTAGATTGAGGGAATTCCCACTCTAATCTGCTTTGGTTGGACCTCACTTGGAATGAACTGTGTCCTCTTCTGGCAGCAAAAGGGAGGAGAATATAGACAAGGTGGAAGGTGTTCATAGAAAGGCAACCAAAATGGTCAAATGCCTGGAAACTATGAAGACCTATGAGTAGTGATGTTTAGTTTGGAGAAGAAAGAGTTGTTGTTGCTGTTGTTATGCTTATTTTCTCTCCACAAGGAGACTCAAAGCAGCTTAAAGGGGACATGACAGCCATGTTTACATAGTGTTAAGGAGGTCCCAGGGAGGAAGGGGTAAGCTTGATTTCTGCTGCTCTGGATACTAGGGCTGGGCGATTTCGTTCGTTAATTTCGTAATTCGTTATTAATTCGTTATTTTTTTTGATAACGAAGCGATATTGAACCATTCATGAGCAACTAAAAAACAAAACTAATTTTTTCAATTCGTTTCGTAATTGTTTCGAAATCGATTCGTAATTGATTCGAAATCGTTTCGTTATTATTTCCGCAGATCTGGTGCAAGTTTTAGGGTTGCTGTTTGTTTTCTCAGTGAAAAAAAAATAAATTATCACACCAACAAAAACGAATCGAGTTTAGAAACAAATTTTTCCGTGGTTGCCCAGCCCTACTGGATACAAAGACCGCTTCTATCCCAGAATCTGATCCCAGATTATCTGTTCATCCAGATTATCTGGTAGTGGAGATTCATATTGAAGACTCACCTGACTGAAATATCATTTTTAGTAATTGTTAGAAGAACAATTTCTGTATTAAATGTTGGTTCAGTAACCCAGCAGAGATGGGAGGGGGAGTTGGTTAGAGTAAGAATAGGCTGGAAAGCGAAGAGCTAGGTTTCCACACCAATGGGGTATTCGAACCTTGGAAACTCTAGGCACCAATCCAAAAAAATAAGATAGTGGGAAGTTGAAAACAATTGGGTTGTTGTAGGTTTTTTCGGGCTGTATGGCCATGGCCTAGAGGCATTCTCTCCTGACATTTCGCCTACATCTATGGCAAGATATGGTAAGTCAGGAGAGAATGCCTCTAGACCATGGCCATACAGCCCGAAAAAACCTACAACAACCCAGTGATTCCGGCCATGAAAGCCTTCGACAATACATGGAAAACAATTATTTTATTGTACAGGGAACGAAAAAGAGAGGTAGGAGTTGAAGGAGAAACAAGAGCTGGTGGTGGAAAGGAGGTGAAACTGGAATGGAGTGAGCAAATGTTTGTGTACAACAGTGGTTCCTAACCTTTGGGCCTCCAGGTGTTTTGGACTTCAGCTCCCACAGTTCCTAACAGCTGGGATTTCTGGGAGCTGAAGTCCAAAACAACTGGAGGACCAAAGGTTGGGAACCACTGATGTACAATGTGGGGGTTTTTGTATAAACATTGATTGATTGATTGATTGATTTTGGTATATGAAGGATGTTCTGGGACAGCCGCACCAGAAGCTCCAGCTTATCTTGCTATTTGTTGATTGCTGCATGTATTTCAAAGTTCTATGCCTTTGCAGTTAGATGGCTTTCCTTACTTTGCAGTTATTGGGTCAATTACTTGTCAATTATTATTAGGTTCCCTTAGTCCTGCCCCCTTTTTGGGCTTTGGAGGGAAGTGAGCCATTTTGTTAGTTAGTCTAAGCTAGGTTAACCAATGTGTAGGATCTGTGTAACTTCCCCTGTACAAAGGCTTCAACCTTTAAGAATCTCCAGGGAAAGAATGCCAAGGAAGCATTCCCACAGCTTTAAGCAATCCAGGGGAGAACAGCTTTAAGAACTCCAGGAAAACAGCCTTAAATACTAAAGAACTCCAGCTGGAGAACATCCGCTGCCTTGCTGGTAGGTCCACTCGGCGTCCGAGAAGCAGTTCGGCCCGGTAGCGGAGCATGCATCAGCGAGAGTTGGATTTTAGTCAGCCTGGGAGAATTTAAAAGGGGGAATTTTCCTTTAAAGAAAAGTTATTGAAGATAATGCCTGTCCCCTGTGGACAAGATTGAGAGAACCAATACTTTATCAAGAAAGCCTTGCAGTTCCTGTTTGATTTCATTAATAAAAGACTTTGTTGTATTTCTCAAGCCATCTGAAGATTCTTTTGTAGAGGAAGCCCCTGAGAACTTCTCCTTGGGCCCCCTGGCTTCCCGCTGGGCAAAGGTTACACATCCTATCTTGAAAGCCAACCAAATACAGGCCCAGCGGCGACAGAACAAAGGAAAAAAAACATGCAGTCTTCAAAATCCAATAATCACATACTATTTCCCCAGTCCCTCCACCTCCCCATTCCCACCCATGACTTCCGGCACCACACCATATGGAACTAGTATCTAACAAAACTCTTTCCTTATCATTACATTAATAAATTCCACATGTGGCTATTTCAAAGTCTATTTTTGCATTATTTTTTCAACACCCAAAGACAACTCTTCAATGCATTTTCCCCTTAAGTCATTGGAGAGCTTGGCCATTTGGATAGACTCAACTAATTTTCTTCTCCAATCCTTAATGAGTAGTTCTTTTTCCCCTTTCCAAGACATCGATATTGCAATTCTCACCACCACAAAACGATATTGGCAATATGTGACCAAGAGCAAGTTATATAAAAGAATCAAAGCATTCCTGACAGATATAGAATCATAGAATCAAAGAGTTGGAAGAGACCTCATGGGCCATCCAGTCCAACCCCATTCTGCCAAAAAGCAGGAATATTGCATTCAAATCACTCCTGACAGATGGCCATCCAGCCTCTTTAAAAGCTTCCAAAGAAGGAGCCTCCACCACACTCCGGGGCAGAGAGTTCCACTGCTGAACGGCTCTCTCACAGTCAGGAAGTTCTTCCTCATGTTCAGATGGAATCTCCTCTCTTGTAGTTTGAAGCCATTGTTCCGCGTCGTAGTCTCCAGGGAAGCAGAAAACAAGCTTGCTCCCTCCTCCCTGTGGCTTCCTCTCACATATTTATACATGGCTATCATATCCCCTCTCAGCCTTATCTTCTTCAGGCTAAACATGCCCAGCTCCTTAAGCCGCTCCTCATAGGGCTTGTTCTCCAGACTCTTGATCATTTTAGTCGCTCTCCTCTGGACACATTCCAGCTTGTCAATATCTCTCTTGAACTGTGGTGCCCAGAATTGGACACAATATTCCAGGTGTGGTCTAACCAAGGCAGAATAGAGGGGTAGCATTACTTCCCTAGATCTAGACACTATGCTCTAGATCTAGGGAAGTAATACTCCCCATGCTCTATTCTGCTTTGGTTAGACCACACCTGGAATATTGTGTCCAATTCTGGGCACCACAATTCAAGAGAGAGATATTGACAAGCTGGAATGTGTCCAGAGGAGGGCGACTAAAATGATCAAGGGTCTGGAGAACAAGCCCTATGAGGAGCGGCATAAGGAGCTGGGCATGTTTAGCCTGAAGAAGAGAAGGCTGAGAGGAGATATGATAGCCATGTATAAATATGTGAGAGGAAGCCACAGGGAGGAGGGAGCAAGCGTTCAACCTTCGTCTTTGGTGTTGATTAGTGCAAATCCTTGCACGTGGAGTTGTGCATGAGTCATGTTGTGCATTAACTCATCCGGCATGGAAACAGTGGCAAACAGCCAAATGTGCAGCAGAGGGCGCATACACATCATAAACACGTCTCTGCAAGCCCATGGTTACGGCGTTCTGCCTGGCAGAATGAGGTTGGACTGGGTGGCACGTGGGGTCTCTTCTACCTCTAAGCATGTAGGATTCAATGATTCTATGGATTGATTCCTGGTCCCTTGTTTCTTCCAGTCAAGCCTGGCGTTTGTCCCATGTTCAAGATCCCTTCTGGGCTGCCATGTGAGTACAAATGCTGCCAGGACTCTGACTGCCTAGGAAACGAGAAGTGTTGCCCCCAGGGACCCTGTCGGACCGTCTGTTTTACACCAGGTGAGGACCAGAAAGCCCTGTGCCACCTTCCTGACTGCCCAGAGATGTGTTGGGGTCTCCAAAAAGTGACTTCGCAGATTTAGCTGGATACCCTACACTGAACACAATGGGATTGGACTAGATGGCCTCTGGGGACCCTTTCCAACTTTAGGATTGGTTGACCACTAAGATCTTTTTTGTTATGTCCTTCACAGGTTTTTAGGCTGGGAAGCGGCAGAGTCCCACCAGAAGATGCCAACTCTTCACTTTGCCAGGGCTTTGCTCTCATGTGTTTCGGCTTTCTTCCCAGCATCACATTGTCTCTGTGGCAATGTGTTTCTCCTCCAGAATGGTCAACCCTTCCCAGTAGCTTTGGGAAAATATCCCATTCCCTAGAAGCAGAACAATAAAGCAATGGAGCACTCTGGATCCAGTTGGAAAAAGAAATAAGAGCTCTATATCTTTCATTTCATTTGAGAGTTGCTTGCAATATGTGTGTTCTGAAGTCCAGCAATGTGCTTTCATTAAAAATTCAAGAAAGAAAGAAAAACAAGAGTTGGGGGGACCCCAAGGGCTATCTAGTCCAACCCTCTTCATCCATGCAGAAATACAGATCCTAATCAGGGCATGTTGACAACTAATCGTGCAAGAAACTAGTCCAATGTGGGCTAGGCAAAACTATGGTGAGGTGGATCTGGAATTGGTTAAATGGACGAACCCAGAGGGTGATTCTCCCCAAGGCTTCCTCTTCATCCTGAAAAGAAGTGACGAGTGGAGTGCCACAGGGTTCCGTCCTGGGCCCGGTCCTGGTCAGGATCTTTATTAATGACTTAGGTGAAGGGCTAGAAGGCAGGATCATCAAGTTTGCAGATGACACCAAATTGGGAGGGAGAGCCAACACTCCAGAGGACAGGAGCAGGATTCAAAGGGATCTTGACAGATTAGAGAGATGAAGGGCCAAAATTAGCAAAATGAAATTCAACAGTGACAAATGCAAGATACTCCACTTTGGCAGGAAAAAGGAAATGCAAAGATACAGAATGTGGGACAATGCCTGGCTCGAGAGCAGTACGTGTGAAAAAGATCTTGGAGTCCTCGTGGACAACAAGTTAAACATGAGCCAACAATGTGACGTGGTGGCAAAAAAAAGCCAATGGTATTTTGGCCTGCATCAATAGGAGCAAGGTGTCTAGATCTAGGGAAGTCATGCTCCCCATGCTCTATTCTGCTCTGGTTAGACCACACCTGGAATATTGTGTCCAATTCTGGGCACCACAATTCAAGAGAGATGTTGACAAGTTGGAATGTGTCCAGACGAGCGCGACTAAAATGATCAAGGGTCCGGAGAACAAGCCCTATGAGGAGCGGCTTAAGGAGCTGGGCATGTTTAGCCTGAAGAAGAGAAGGCTGAGAGGAGATATGATAGCCATGTATAAATATGTGAGAGGAAGCCACAGGGAGGAGGGAGCAAGCTTGTTTTCTGCTTCCTTGGAGACTAGGACGTGGAACAATGGCTTCAGACTACAAGAGAGGAGATTCCATCTGAACATTAGGAAGAACTTCCTGACTGTGAGAGCCGTTCAGCAGTGGAACTCTCTGCCTCAGAGTGTGGTGGAGGCTCCTTCTTTGGAAGCTTTTAAGCAGAGGCTGGATGGCCATCTGTCAAGGGTGATTTGAATGCAATATTCCTGCTTCTTGGCAGAATGGGGTTGGACTGGATGATGGCTCATGAGGTCTCTTCCAACTCTTTGATTCTATGATTCTATGATTCTATGACAACTTCAACAGAAAGGAGGAAACCATGGAAATGAACAAAATCTGGTTTCCAGTGTTAAAAAAACTCTAAAATTACAACAGCAATACAACAGAGAGGAAACAAACAAGGACATCTAATCACCTCTCAACAAAAGTTTGCTCCAGGCACTGTCAGGGCATTATATGCTAATCAAGGTGGTCAGTTGAAACATTCACACCTAGCTCCAGCAGACAAGAGTCCTTTGTCCCACCCTGATCATTCCACAGATATATAAACCCTTTTTCCTAGTTCCACTACCTCTGAGGATGCTTGCCATAGATGCAGGCGAAACGTCAGGACAGAATGCCTCTAGACCATGGCCATATAGCCCGAAAAAAACTACAACAACCCAGCTCTATATCTTCCATTTTATTTGAGAGTTGCTTGTAATATGTGTGTTCTGAAGTCCAGCTATGTGCTTTCTTTAAAAATTCAAGAAAGAAAAAAACCAAACATTGAGGGGGACCCCAAGGACCATCTAGTCCAACCCTCTTCATCCATGCAGAAATACAGATCCTGATCAGGGCATGTTGACAACCAATCATGCATGTGAACAGAACACATTTCAAGATTTGGGTGCAGATCTGCAGGAGCCTTCCCGTTCCTTGGATCCTTTGTTCTGTCTTTTAAGAGCATTATAAACCCCTTTTAATCATCAGCCTGTGATAATCCGTTGTGTTACTCTTTCCAAGCAATAAAGAAGGAGCCTTGAAATGCCTTTCCTGTCTCACTTGCTTTGGAAAGGAGCCAATGGGGAGAAGTCGAGGAATGCTGTTCCTGGAGGACAATCACACCAGTCACTGACCCTGCTCAACTGGTTCCTTGGCTTTCCTGGCTCCCCTTTTTGCTTTGTTTTCAAGGCCTGTTCCAAGCATCAAGGCAAGGAATGCCTATGCCCCAAACAACCTGATGGCTGCAGCACTTGCAAGCAGAACTAAAATCACAGAGGAAGAATTGCAATTTAACCAGCTACTTGAAATCAAACAGGAAAATCATAGAATCATAGAATCAAAGAGTTGGAAGAGACCTCATGGGCCATCGAGTCCAACCCCATTCTGCCAAGAAGCAGGAATATTGCATTCAAATCACCCCTGACAGATGGCCATCCAGCCTCTGCTTAAAAGCTTCCAAAGAAGGAGCCTCCACCACACTCCGGGGCAGAGAGTTCCACTGCTGAACGGCTCTCACATTCAGGAAGTTCTTCCTCATGTTCAGATGGAATCTCCTCTCTTGTAGTTTGAAGCCATTGTTCCGCGTCCTAGTCTCCAGGGAAGCAGAAAACAAGCTTGCTCCCTCCTCCTCCCTGTGGCTTCCTCTCACGTATTTGTACATGGCTATCATATCCCCTCTCAGCCTTCTCTTCTTCAGGCTAAACATGCCCAGCTCCTTAAGCCGCTCCTCAAATCATGGAAAGGAAAGGGATGAGAGCATCTAAGGCAGTGGTTTTCAACCTTCCTAATGCCGTGATCCCTTAATACAGGAGAGAGGAGCCCACAGACCCACTAATGAGAGTCCGGTATTCTGACAAGCAAAGGAAAGAACCAAAAGAATTTTCCCTGATTTTGCCCAATAAATCTCACCAAAATTGAAAAAAAGACACCAAATTGTATTTATTTTGTCCACCTGGTATGGATATCAAACCTTGATAGTTCGTCAGGTGAGACATACATTCAATACATTGCAGTACATTTTTATAGAAAAACAGAGCTGCCAAAGTTCAAATTTCTACCCCACCCCCGCCCCCTTGCCGGCAACCTCCTGATTGGCTGTCATCATCAGCTGGATGGGAGGCACGGCCGGCTCAGCCACGCCTCAGCCAATCAGGGAGTCAGCACTGCTTCGAGCTCTGGTCCAATGAGAGCGGAGGAGGCGGTCCAAGAGAAAAACAATGAACCAGGAGTCTAGATGAGTGGTTTAAAATGAATCAGTGTGTGTCCTGATGGCCAGCAATTAACCCAGAGATTCCTCAAGCCAGCCGGGTATTATCTTGAAAGGTTGAAATATGCAAAAATGGCTGGCATGGCTGCCAAGCCCTGACATTCTTCTGACTTAGATATTGAATTACTTGATGTTATCTGTGTGGGCTTCAGTCCAAAGGGGAGATGGCAATGAGAAAGACAGATGGGACATCCTGATCTTCCCTGAAGGCAGGATATCTCTTTGTTGACACGTGACCAATTCGCCATGGGGTGCCTCCTCGGGTGGACCTGCTCTGAGACCCAAATAGCACCTTGCTATTATCATGCAATAAGTCTTTGTTGGAAACCTTAAATCAATAGGAATTCACCTCAGGAAATGAACTTCTCAAGGCTTCTGTCTTGCCAGGGTCACGAATGGGTGGCTTTCCACCCCCTCTGGGGATTGAGAAGGGCGGGGTAAAAGTACCAGTAATAAATAAATAAATAAATATACAAACACACACACATAGGGGATTCATAAGGCCTATACAAGGGAGAAATGGAGGGAAAAGGAAATTCATATAGACCAATTCCACCCACCAAAGCCCATAGAAAGTCCAATATTATGAAATCATATAGTCCCCAAATCATGATGGGGATTCCATGGGGTTTAGGGAAAAGTTTCAGAAAATCTTCAAAAGTTCTTAAAAGTTAAAGAAAGTAGATGAAAGTTGTAAAATCCAGGGGAGGCAAGTTGGAAAAGGTGTCCCAGCGTCCATTGAGTTCCTATGAGCCGACTGCCAGCGTGGAAGACCAAGATCATCATCATCATCATCATCATCATTTAATTACTTATTAATCGCCCTCCATCCGAGAATGCTCCAGGCAATTTACAGCTAAATTGTAAAAGATAAAATACATACAGATCCACGGAGAGAACTACAGATCCCTCCTCACCAGGGACCAAGGCAGCCCGTCGACATCTTGGGAATCCTATGGGGCGACTGTGACAGTTTCCCAAGATCAGCAGGCTCCCTGGACATCCACAAAATGGTGGCGATGAGGTGGTGTCTTCAGAAAAACAGCTGGGCTCCAGGTTGAGGTTTTACAGACAAAAAATGTTATTCCCGGGGTGAAGGGGTTAGCGGAGAAAAACCGAGATAACCATTAGTCTTAGAATTCCCCCAGGAGAAGAATGACACCATTTTTGAAGTGATCAGTTGACTCGCAGATACGGGGGGCTGAGGGGTTTCCGTATCCGCGGTTTAAGGGAATGCAGTTTTGGCCTCCCCGGTACGCGAAAATCGCATCCCAGGTGGGCCAGCAGTCATCTGCAGCCCAGGAGAAGAAAGGTTCATGGAGAGAGAGAGGTTTGAGGCAATGAAAAGACACAAAGTAGCACTATGGAGAGGAAAAAGATTACAATTAATTGATACTTTTTATTGGGGGATTAGTTACAATGTTAGGAGGGGAAAGAAAGTGAGGTAATAAGAAGTCTTCTGAGTTGCAGCTGCTGCTGTGGCCACGTTC